ATTTTTCTTTCCCTTAAAGAAACCTTTTGGCTCCAGCTTCCGAATGCGGAAATGGAAATTCCATTTCCGCATCATGCGGAAATGGAAATTCTATTTCTGCATGATGCGGAAATGGAAAATCTATTTCTGCATGATGCGGAAATGGAATTTCAGAGTCGTGGATTCCAGATTCCACATCCGTTGTATTCACTGTTGTACGAGGATGTAGTGCTCGCAACGCCGATTTGAATCGTGTGCAAAATTGATTGGAGCTTTTTCATTCCGCGTGCAGACGATGACCGTTATTTTTTGATACATTTGTGTTGGCACGCAACCCGCTTGAGAGAGCGGTGACACCCGTCTGTCCCCTTGTCCTTATTTATGAAAATTACCCTGTCTTGCAGTTGAGAAGGGAATTCAGCAGTACTGCTGAATTTTTCAGCAGTACTGCTGAATTATTCAGCAGTTATTCAGCAGTTATAATAACTGCTGAATAATTCAGCAGTACTGCTGATTAAATAGATTCCATATCTGCATGCTCGGAAAATGCTACGCTGGCGAAAAAACCGTTATGCTAGTTTCAATATTGACCCAGTCGTGGAGGGAAACGTACGACATACAGGCGGTGTTCAGCAGGACCTCCCTGTGTTGCTGATGCAAGAGATGGAGAAGCGACCAGAAAGCAGATTTACTGCGACCTACAGACGGTGTGGGTCGACTGCAAGACGATTGCTGTAGTTTCACGTGCACACTCACGAAGTACGAGTAGTAAGCAAAGCTGCCCTGGGAAAAGAAGACGGGCCACTTCGCAGATTAATATCTCACCAGCTCACCAGTACGTAAATAAATATATGGCAGTAGTATCGAGCCAATGTCATCATGTTTCTAATCAACTAGCCTGTCAATTCGGAAAACTTGGCAAAATGACGACATGCCGACTGTGATGCGTGAAAACTGAGAGATGAAAGTGGATAATGTTGTACTACTGTGAGTTAATTGTTCATTCATCCAGCCCTTGTAGTTCCACAAAGCTGCAAGGCAGATACAGGCGATGTACTGTTATTACTTCTGATTCTTTTATATGCTTAACGGTTAGATTTAGAGACACGTTCAATCTCGTCCTTTTTCTTGATGGCATAAGAGTTGGAAGACCCTCTCGCAGCATTAATCAATTCCTCTGCCAAACATTCAGCCATGGTCTTCAAGTTACGGAAGGAAGCCTCTCTCGCTCCAGTGGCAAGTAGGTAAAGAGCATAGTTCACACGGCGGAAGGGGGACATGTCAACCGCTTGACGACGAACAACACCGGCTCCACCAACACGTGTAGAATCTTCTCGTGGTCCAGAGTTGATGATCGCATCAACAACAACTTGAATTGGATTTTGGTCAGTGAGAAGGTGAATGATTTCCAAGGTGTGTTGGACAATTCGGCAAGCCATGAGTTTCTTTCCGCTATTTCGGCCCTTGCGCATCAAGCAACAGACAAGACGTTCGATGATTGGACAAGATGCCTTTCGGAATCTTTTTTGTTGGTACCGTCCGGCGGTGTGGGGCAGATAAACAGCGTGATCCCCCTTGCATGCGATGTAATCCTGAACGAAAGAATACAATTTCAGACCACAGCTTCATTTAGTCAATTCAGTGAGAAATAATGGACCTACCTCCAAAGAAATGTCGCGAATTTCGATATCATCAAATGACCACTTTCCGAAAAGCTTGACCTCAGTGGCACCACCAACATTTACATACTCTTCATCCTCTTCCTCTACGGCAGGCTCTTCCTCGAAGGTTTCTTCGGCAACTGGTTCTTCAACGTCGGCCATGGTTTCGACTTTTACTTCTTGATATAGCGATCTCTAGCACTTGAAAAACAAACAAAAAACGATCCGCCGGACAGACGCACACCAGAAAAAGTAAAGCGGTAAGCGATTGAGTCGAACTGATCTAAGATAAAAATGAATGAGCGAAGGGGCTGCGGCTAGCACGGCAGTGTAATGACCTTGGAGTGACCTTGGAACTAGATTAGACCCTTTGGAGGTACAGACATAGCTTTAGGCCTAACTCTTACGTCACTCCTTTCTGTGGCTTTCTGAGAGACTCTATAACTTTTGTTGTGACCCATTCCTATCTCTTCTTCTAGGCTGGTTCATTATTCGAATAGCCATAAGGCTTAGATTGAAGACTACAAGAGTATACTCACACACACAAGCAATCGCAGTTTGATTTGATCGAAAAACCTCGATCCTTTCAGATTTTCAATCAGTTTCACACCACGCAACAAACAGTCAAAACTACTATGCTGAGTCGCACTACAATCAAGAATGCAGCGTTCCGGAATGGAACCAAGACGGAATGTCTTATGGCGGAATGCCAAGTGCCGAGCAGTACCAGCATCAGGAACACTATTATCAAGCTGAAGAAAATCAACAATGGAACGATCAATTCAACTTTGAACAGGAAGAATATTATCCTGAAGCACAGGAGGCGCAAGAATGGGCGTCGCCAACATTCATCATTCCAAAGAAGGACGGTAGGGTGCGATAGATCAGCGATCTCAGACAGCTGAAAAAGACTGTCAAGCGTAAAGTATACCCCTTGCCTTTGATTGATGATATTGTTGCGCGTCGTTCTGGCTACCAAAATTTCACAAAACTTGAACTCACAATGATGTACTATTCTTTTATATGAATTATTCTTTGATAACGCGATTGCCGACTGCTTCTCTCAGCTTCCGCAAATGGAGACGCCGTCTGAAGGGAAGAGTCCAAATAAAGCGAAAAGAGACAGCACAAGATCAATGAAAACTTGAGGAGACAGAACGCAAAGCAAAAAGAATTTGATTACAGAATTGGTGGAGAAGTTTTGATCAAGAATACTGATGGAAGAAAGTTGGATCCGAAGTACAGAGGTCCGTATCCTATTACAAATGTTTACACTAATGGTACAGTGGAATTTCAGCGCACAAATGCGATCCGTGAGAGGATCAACATCAGACGGCTTTTGCCGTTCCGTCGAGTCTAATGGACGATATGCTTGCATCGCCCATTGCGTCAAGAACCACCTCTGAAGTTGAATGGAGGATCAAGTGGATGTAAGGACGCCTTGTGACTTTAGTGTATGATCAATCGACAGGCTCTGATCATAGAAGGGAAGAGTGTAATGACCTTGGAGTGACCTTGGAACTAGATTAGACCCTTTGAAGGTACATACATAGCTTTAGGCCTAACTCTTACGTCACTCCTTTCTGTGGCTTTCTGAGAGACTCTATAACTTTTGTTGTGACCCATTCCTATCTCTTCTTCTAGGCTGGTTCAGGCAGGCCAGGGACACGCTTCGGATTGTAGTGAAACCAAAGTGTGACGGGAGACAGACAGACTTTTCCTCCCCCCTCAGCAGCACGGAGGCATCGAATTCAAGCTCCACTTTGTTCCATCGAATTCCTCTATCATTTACAGGTACATAGAATTATTTAGGGGGCAAAACATTGTTTTATTTCTCCGAAACAGTGGAGCTATAATTAACGACAAGTCTTTTGTCGTAAATTTTGTCGTAAATTTTGTCGTAAATTTTGTCATAAAATATTTACGACAACTTACGACAACTTACGACAACTTACGACAAGCTACGACAAATTACGACAAACCTACAACAAATTACGACAACCCTACGACAAAATTTATGACAAAATCTACAACAAAATCTACTGCGCGCACGCCGACCCTTCGTTTCAACATTAGCGATGACCAAGAGAATTTCAAATACTTTCATGTTGAAAACACCAACAACTCCGTTTCATTGTCAACAAGTACACATACCCAGCACAACGGAGGAAAAATACCATGCAACAATCATCATAAGATAAAAGATGGTAGATTTACACGCTCTCAAAGGCGAGATGATCCAGATTTTTGCTGGAAAATGCTGGCCATGAAGCATGGATGGATAATTCGCAGACATGGCATGTCAAAGAAGGAACAGATACAGCACCTGTCATTGTCCGTCTCCGTAAAGGAAAGGGACTCGTGCAATCAACCATCTGGAAGAGCTCTTTTCAAGGTTTTGACCCCAACGCAAGTCCACATAACTACACCGAGGCTGTCCTTCGTCAACGCCCAGGAATCAAGAAAAACCTCGTATGCGTAACCCGTCAAATGGCCCAGTGCATAGGTGCCCGCCAGAAACAAGGCGAAATGGTTAAAGTCCAGCCTTGCTGATCCTGGACCCCTATTTGAATTCAAAACAAGTTGCAAGCAAGACAAGAGAGTTTGAATGGAAGATTGAAGGACTTTCGAATCCTTGATGCGACTTATCATCATGATCCGAAGAACCATGTGTTTGTGCTGGAGGCAGTTGCTGTGCTTGTTCAGTATGCTATGGATCATGGACATCCAATTTTCCCCGCAAATACTGGTGATCATTACCCAGATTCGGATGTTTAATTAAATTGGGATATATGAAATAAATTAGACTTGAACTACAGTACACTGTGGCTCATTTCGATTGATTTGTTTCACGTCATGCTTGCGCGCAAGCCAAGAATTTTCTCTACTTTTTTAGTTCTGTTGTAAATTTTGTCATAAATTTTGTCGTAAATTTTGTTGTAACAGCTCAGTTGATGGTAGAGAATTTACGACAAAAATTACGATAATCGAAGATTACCCGGCGCCGCCTCCACTCCTGGGCTTGAATCGCATGATGTAGTCTTTGTCTGGAGAGATCGCGCACGTATGCTACCATGGAAACTGTGGCAAAAGCCTGATGCTACATACGAGAAGCAAGTAGGTTTGGCACAGTAGCGAGGTACTAAGTTAGTGACTGGTTTGCACAGAGGTCGAATCATAGGATTCGAAAAGGACAATCAATAGGATTGACAGACAAACCCGGACCAAATGGGGTACCGAGCTATGGTGCAAATTTGGTCTGGCATCGGTGGCCGTCCGGTGGAAGTGCAGATTAGCATGCCCCTGGTGTTGCTTTCCTCGTTGCTAGGCTTTGGCTTTTTTGCAGGTGAAGCGACTGCATCTTGCTTGGAGGATGGTGACTCGGAGGACCGTTTGCCAGAAGACGAAGCGTCGGGTGCCTCGGTGGAAGAAATCAGGGCACTCAGGGCAGATGTCCTGGGATAGTTGGGGCGGCGACAGTTTCGTAGTCCTTCGTCAATCTTGTCCAGCAGGAGCTGTGTCTGGGCTCTTGCACCCGAGAAGAGTTCAGCACGTTGAATGGTGCCCAGTGGTCGTGCTTCGGCGTGGAGAGTGAAGTCCTTGGCCTCAGAGGCAATGACCTGGAAAACGGTTTGGAGGTCATGGAGGATGTGGACAGCGACACCCGTGAGGTCGATCACATGCTGCCACTGGACGGCGTCAGGTCGGGACAAAGCAACCATAACCGTGTCAAACTGTTCCACCAAGAAGGGTGTGTTGTTGGACATGGAGAAGTTTTCGGTTGCGAAGTCAGCAAGTTGTGCGACGTTGGAGATGGTGCTCTTGATGTCGGCAATGGAGGCGCAGCGACCCTTGGAGTACAACTTTGTCTTCTTGGAGGCCCTTTTGGTGACATGCTCACCCATGTCTTCTTGCATACAGGCTTCTTCATCTTTGTTGATATGCGAGGCCAAGTCCTTGTCGGTCCTGTCGGATGGGAGGAACTGAAGGAGACTGAAGCAGGACAGTGCATCGGATGGGTTCATTACCAGAGGCCTGGTGGTAAAGCTGGCTCCTTGGATCGCCGCCATCCCAGCTGCCTGGATGCGATGGACATCCCAGTCGAAGAGAGCGTGGTAAGCATTGCGGGTAGGTTGGAGCCCTTTAATGGACTGCTCGAAGGCTTCGTGGAAGAAACGAAGGGCAAGTTGGGGTTTTGCCTTCAAAATGGTCTTCCAAGCGGGCGAACAATCAGCCAGTACGTATTCAACACTCCCATCCGGGTGGGTGATAAAATGGCCAAAGAGTATTCGCCATGACAGGAGGACTCGCTCTTGAGCTTCGGTGGCCGCGTCATTGGTGGCCGTGGTCTTTGATGCCAAAATTGCCTCCTTGATGATACTGGCGTGGTCGATTGGTTGGGCAGCCCCGGTAGGAATACTTGGTTCGGCAGAGACATCGGTGTGGGCACGGGAGAGCGTATCGACCTTACTGTTGAAGCTCGTAATGTACTTGTAAAAGGATTCAGAGCCGGTCCGGGCGTCGCGAAACTCGTACCCAGATGCTGTGGAGAGAGTATTCTCGGAGATTGCAGCTAGCTGCTCGTTGACAATAAACTGGTCCAGTGGGATAGAAGTCTTGCCGACGAGTGTCTCGTCGACAAAAAGGCTTCTTCCCATCGTATTCTTGAAGAGAAAGGCATGAACTTCGACCCATAGACGTTCGTGAGGCGAAAGGGCCAGAAGAACTTCTTCAGGGACGTCTTGAGTAAGGTCCAGATCCGGTGGCATCTTGCTACCTGGAACAAGTGGGCAGAAAACTGAGACTGCACAGAAGGTTGGTGATTCGACTGTGAAGTCGATGTTTTCAGGTAAGTCTGCGTCGTTGGCGTTCTTGGCGTTGCTCGGGTGGTACTGGGTGTCCTTCAGCAGAGGGACGCAGCACGAGACGGCGCGGTCATTGTTGCCCACCCCGATCACCCGTTTGGAGAGTTCGTTAGGGTCAATGGTCACGGGGATTGCTTGGGTAAGGTCGTCTCGGAGGGAGGCGAAGATACCGGCCGACATGCCGTTGTCAAGGATAACCTTTTTTGGGATGGTAACGACCGTGAGCTTTCCTTGAGGGTCGAAGAACATCAGACCGAGTGCCGAGGTGACGGCAGTGGCACGATCATACATGCTGGACGAGCCGTGGAAAACGTTCCTCAAGAGGGCATCAGAGTCCGCATCGGTAGGGAGGGACTTGATAGCAGAAAAAGAAGGGAATCGCATTACGGATGGTGTCAATCAACTTGGATGTAAAATCCTGAAAAACAGAAATTATGAGGAGGGACGCAATAGGAAAATGTTGTTGCGAGTGTGTGAAAGTTGGTATGGATTGTACTACAGTGTAGTGAGTTCCATCGACGTGGCGTGTCAGCAAGTCGGAGAGGGAAGTGTGAATGGGATTAAAGGGAAGAAAAGTTTCCGATTTGGGAAGGAAAAGTTTTTGTTTTGGATAGGAAATGCCCCTCGAAAGGCTCTCGGGGGGTAGTGGGTAATGATAGAACTGTAATATATAAACACTAGAAGATGTAAAAAGCATATTCAGGCGAGGGATATCCAGCTTGGAGAGGGAAAGGATGAGAGTCGCAAAGGGAAAAGGGAGGCCAAGAACAAAGAAAACAAGAAAGGCTCGGATCCAAGTTCGGCTTTAAAATAGTTAGGAAAACAGACGGCCTAAGCACGGAGAGCAAAAAACAGTTGTTTATAGAAATATATTGCGGCCAGAGGGGCAAGATGTAGACCTCAACGGAGGGTTTGTAACCTCGACGGAGGACCTCGACGGAGGATTTTGTAACCTCGACGGAGGACCTCGACGGGGGATTTTGTAACCTCGACGGAGGACCTCGACGGAGGATTTGTAACCTCGACGGAGGACCTCGACGGAGGATTTTGTAACCTCGACGGAGGACCTCGACGGAGGATTTTTGTTAGCCTCGACGGAGGACCTCGACGGAGGATTTGTAACCTCAACGGAGGACCTCGACGGAGGATTTTGTAACCTTGACGGAGGACCTCGACGGAGGATTTTGTGAACCTCGACGGAGGACCTCGACGTAGGATTTTTGTTAACCTCGACGGAGGACCTCGACGGAGGATTTGTGTTAACCTCGACGGAGGACCTCGACGGAGGATTTTGTGAACCTCGACCACGGAGGACCTTGACAGAAGATTTGATGTTTTTCCTCGACGGACCTCGACGGAGGATTTTTGATAAAAGCGGTGGGATGTAGACGAAAGCAAAAGCAAAAGCAAAAAAGAGCTGACGGTCTTGACCGAGCAGCTAAACTGACCCTGAAATAGTTAGGATCCCCTTAAATGATGGGATTTCAAAGGAACATTGTTGAGCTGGAATTTGATAACCCCGTGCTGCAGGGGTGCAAAAATTCTTCCCGCGTCCCATCCGAAATGGGTTTCACACCAATCCGAGGGGTATCCCAGACGAAAGACAAGGTTTCTTACCTACCGGTACACCACTGTAGGGTAAGTCAGAAGGTTAGAATTTTCTACTTGATCTGCAATATGAAGGCATAGATAATGTTATCAGAGGTGTTTGACCATTTCGATAGTTTAAAAGCGCAGGTCGTCCCATCTTGACATTCATTGTTTGTTACCTCGTTCAGAAGGAATCGTGGCGTGTAGTGGACTGAGTCCCTACTGTATACAGCGTTCCTGCTATTTTCTCCTCTTCTCGCGTCTCTTAGTTTTTCTTCATCTTCCTCTTTCCTTCCTCTTTCGCAAATTACTCCAGCAGGACAGCCTGATAAAATCTACAAGCTGCGGTTTGAAAGAACGCTCAATACATTAGGAGATGTAGGTATTTGAAGCAAATTGATGTCAGATACTAGCTACCTACAACAAATAAATGGCGGTCGGAGTAAGAAAAAGCGCACTCTCCTACTTTAAAAAATAAGGGCTCGAATGTTTTTTTGTACAAAATCTTGGGACTGTTGAGAAATGGGAAGAGAACTCCATCAGGAGGAACCTGAAGCTTGTCTTTCCAGGTGCGAAATTGTTTGGATGACACAGAACTGGATCACGCGGTATGAACCCGAACGTCGAAGTGCGACAACGATAAATCTTCCTGCAAACTGGAAATATCGTGAATAACATGATCAAGGTCAGCTCTGTCTAGGAGTGTTGTGGAGCTAACAAGCGCATCAATCACGAATTCGCGCTCTCCACTTTTGGAAACTCGAAGTTTGGTCGTGATATCTTCAATTGACATCCCCTTGGAAGCAACTTTTTCTGAAACTGCAGCAAGCATTCCCGGTCTATTCACAAATGCTGAGAAACCAAATGCAAAAATACAATCAAAACAAAATGACGCACCTATCGTTCCCAACACAATGAATTCTCATTCCCATTTTGGCCGAATGGGCCGCTGTACTACGCTGGCTCAATTGGACCGCTTGAATGTCAAGCTCGGTGGTCAAGTGTTTGCTCTTCAGGGACTTCAAGAAACTCTGTCTCTTTAAAGGTTGAACGGCTACGTGCATTTGGATGATGAATTCCGATCCAAGACGCGTCATTTTGGAATGTGTGACATTTCCACCATTGTCTGATATATGTCTTGATAACATCGCCACTAAACCAGCTGTCAAAGGTTGTTGATTAGACTCGGTTTTCACAGCCCGCACAGCCATGCAGTTTACAACGTACCCCTATTTTTTCCTGCCGCAGAAATATTCAAATGACTCATGTTCAAGTCCATCTCTACGGGAGTCGTATTGAAAGCATCGAGGCCTTCCTTCAGTAGTAGATACGTTGAACCAGTCACAGCTCCGCCTGTTTGCGATAAAGATGTAAAATAAGAGTCGGTTACTTTTCTAGACACGCAGAAAGCGCTGGATGCGTCCACTTACCTGCCATTTCATCACCGTGAGCAATATCGCCCCCTCTCATCGCTGACAAAACCTATAGAGAGGAGCATAAATATTAGCACTAGCATGCAATGACGCATTCTAAACGGATCAGTCGACGTACACCAGTCCATAAAAGTGATACACCTGCAACAAAAGGAATTCTCAGATGCATTGGCATGAAGGCAAAATTTATGGCCGTTGCAGGTACCCATATCTTCCACAATGCCAACAGATCTTCTTTCATGTTTCGCCTGTAGTCATCGATTACCTTGCCGAAATCCGGTTTTTCGGACACGACCAACTCTCTCGTGCAATAAAACGCTGGAAAATACATCAACGGATGATGGACACCTTGTGATAGGTATCATGAGATAATATCTAGGCGAAACGAAGCTTGCGTGAAAAGCACTTACATTGATCAAGGAAGGTTTGGGCAAATACTGCAAACAGTCCTTTAGTATCTCTCATCTTTTCTCGCCATCCAAGTTTGACAAATGTTCTTGCTTGCGGGAACAATCTGCCAAATATTGGAACGTAAAGGGTGTACTATTATTGTCAAGCGTAAGATTCATTCTGAGTAGATGAAACGAGGCGCCAGATCACTCACCTGAACACCACCTAAATACAAGAAACCAAATGACGCAAAGGCAGCATTTCTTTTCCAGTCTATCTCCTGGCGCCTCTCAATTACCTTTACGAGAAACGATTGAAAAGTTTGAGAGCTACAATCTATACACTGCTCCAAGAAACAGCGAATAATGCCATACTTTTTGAACGAGAAGATCAGAAAAAGAAGTCTTGAATCCTGATAAAACTACACCAAAAGCGAATGGGTATTGAAGTGGTATTTGTTGCAATCTAGACAGCATCCGCGATCTATTTGCTAGCATCATCATCACTTATTATGGCTCTTCTGTGACGAGATAATGCGATCAAGTGAATGTTTGCTTCGAAAGGAGGGTTGAGCGTTGCAAAATTCAAAATGCGGCTCGAATTCTGAATCTGGATTTTCTCATGTTTTATGACGTCACTCCTGTACCACTCTTGCTTGGACTGACTGCACTGACCAAGGTACACGTGTATCGACGAAGGCAAGACGTCCAAAGATTTTGTGGTAAGCTTCAAAACCATACGAAGACCAAACATGAGAATCTTACTACAAGGTCTTAGATACCAAGCCCGATTCGGAAGTAATGCGATCCTCAAGCACTCAATTTTGAATGCTAGTATTAAGGCGCAACTATCATGCGTTTCACCGTTGACAGAGAAACTGAATCGGACTCAAACGAGACTGCTTTCGACCAGTGCGGCATCAAATCTTCTTGATTCTCTTCGTAGAGAATACGAAGAAGAAGTTCAATCTGGGCAAAATGAAATTGCAGAAGACCTATTATTACTAAAGAATCAATTGGAAGAAAACTGGCGTATCGTTGAAGAAGGCGCCACTACGACTCTCTATTCAAAGTCTAGTCAAAAGATTCAAGTGTCATTCCATTGTCAGGATTCCGTAGAAGAGGTTGAAACCAATGAAGATCCGATCGACAATGAAGGAGAAGAAGAAGAAATGTCTATGCCTGTTCATTTTCAGGTCACCCTCTCCAAGGCTGGAAAGTCCCTCATCCTTGAATGCCTTTCAAATTGTGGAGAAGCGAGTGTAGTCGGTGTACGCACTGAAGCCGAAGACATAGAGGAATCGGAACTGTATCAAGGGCCTGAGTTCGTAGAACTTGACGAAAGTTTGCAGGAATCATTTTCAATGTTCTTGAAGGAGGAACTTGCCGTGGATGATGACGTTGCCATCTTTATCGCGATGCAATCCGATTACATTGAACAATCCCAATATTTGCAATTCTTGAAAGATGTCCAATCCATCATAGAATAGCCATGTAGTTAAAGATGATTTGTGTCACTCACTATTTCAATTCGATTGGGGCATGTCTCAAAGACCCATCGAAAGGTGCAAGAGCTTGGCAAAACATCCATAAAACTTCGATATAAATAATAATCAGCGAAAAAATTGTTGTTGTTTCGTTAGAGAAAATTTCAAAACAATCAACAACATATGACGAAATATGAGTTTTTACGTTCCGAGAAAAACTATTCAAGTACGAGGTTTTGACACGCACGATCGGATTTTGATCGTGATGTCAGCAATTTGACGCGAGTCTGCTCGACAAACTATATCCACATGAAGAGGGAATTACCCTATACAAGTGGCATATCAATGTTGTGTACAATGTAGTAGGGAATAATACAAGATGTCCCAAAGTACTGTATTCGACACAGAATCCTCGTAGAAGTCGGATCGAGTTCTGTAAACAAGGGATTTCCCAAAAGGAAATTCGTTGAACTCACTTTTGTGATTGAATCATCAATTCAAGCCAAACATTAATCAAATAGGAACAATTTCACTCAAAGTATACCTAACACAGGAGAGCTATTATTGTGGAAGTGTTGTACAGTCGATTATGAATTTAGATTGCAGAGAGTTTGTTCTGAGCGCTAAGCACTCACAATAGAGCACAGTCTGCTTATTTCTAACATTCAATCACAAAAGGCAACAAAAAGAAAATAGGTCAAGTGCAGCACTGCCTCATCTACAAAGGAGTGAGTGATTCGTTGACTATGGGACGTTCCTCATCCGGTGGAAGAGGACATGTGACTCCTCAGAAAGTCAAGGACAATTCAAGTTCAAAGGTGGTGAAACTGTTGGTGAAATGGGATTCTAATGAATAAAAGAACAGTCGAACATGTCGGACAGTAAAGTCGGACATTCGTGGTATCGAACGCGGACAGGAGTGCGGTTCGAATACGTACAGAGATGGATAAGTATTGAAGGTAGATCGTGAAGAACATGTGCGTATGTGCTTTATACGCCGCGACAGCTGGTGAGAGCTGACGCAGATGGCTTCCGGAAGAATAATAATAATAACTGAGACATTAATCGTTAATATGCTACTCTATGGGCATTCGATTGCCGGTGAAATATTCGGCTGTAAAGGTCAAGTACTGTGAAGCGGTGAGTCAACAACAAGTTTGAACCA